CTAGCTGCTAAAAGCGAATTATTATTTCACTATTTCACTTTCATTAATGATTGAACAAACAAAAATCATATTCTATATTTTTTTTATATCTCGTAGCTAGTGCCCCTTTAAGGAATGTTCTATTGTCTTCCTTACGATGCATTTCATAATTCTATTGCTTATATATGTAGTACGCTATAGGTCATCTGGATTCTGTGAACAAATAATATGATATTGCATATGGCAATTTATCTTTTACAAAGGACCGCAATAACACATTTGAATGAGTAGGCTTAGCTGTACTAACAGAAATAAAACAATTCCAACATTATTGCTAATATTCTCCACAGTGATGATTGAATGCATTGCTCTGGATTAATATGAGTCAGTTACGTATTGGTAGTCGTCTAAAAGAGTTCTTAATATTCAGGATATAAATTTTGAAAATTTTAATGTCATGAAAACGTATTTTGGTCGCCTGTCCCAGGCGTTCAATTAACATTTTATAGAAACATAGATAATACTTTTTACAGCTCCAAAAGTTTAAAAAATCATTTACAATAATTATGTTTTTCTTCAACCATTATTATATAGTTCGCCTAAACCATATTTAAAGCATTTTTTTTTAAAACATTTGGTTTCAGTGCTCTTCAGCTTCGTAATTGAATTATTTGGTTTTTCCAACTGTTATAGTAATACTTTTTATTGTGTTAAACCTCTATTTTCTTTACAGATAAAATTGTCATTCTTATCAAAGGGTGACATAATTTATTACAGAACATCACCTCGTTCAAATGATCAAATTAGATATTCATACTTTCTTTTTAATCAGCATGTTCACAAAAACCTTCTTCGTCAATCGTTGCACGATTTGTGCCTAATATTTATGTTACCATGGGTTCTGGTTGGTTGAAATCTCCAAAACTGTTTAACTAAATAGTATTGATTTACATTTCGAATAATAAAGTATTAAAGTTTACAGATGCAATTATTTCCCTGTAAGATAATTTTTAATTTGAAGGACATCTATTTCATGATGGATGTAAGTATTTTTTTTTATGGTAATAAAACATTTTTCTTCTTTCAACCTGAATTGCTGACAGCATTCGTGTGTCATTAATATATGCTTCGGTTAATGTTTTTATAAAAAAAACCTACAATTAACATTCAAATCATAACAATAACTTGTTGAAAACTTCATTTTACGAGAACTCGTAAACATACACTTTGATTTTTTTTTACTCAGTGCTAGTTTGTGTGCTTTGTACCGATCTAGTAATTTTTACGGTGATTTTTCTAGTATTGCACCATTACACAACTGTTTATTGTTTGGTGATTTATTGAGGGTTCATACCATTGTTTAAACCATTGTTTGACTGTCACAAATTTGGAGCCTGTAATCGAGTAGTTGTATGTCTTATGTACTTGTTTTTTGTTCATGTCATTAAATGCAGTAGTTGTAGTTTTCTTTTTTCAATGGTTTCATATTTTGTTATCTCAGTTTTTTTACAGCTTACTATAAACGGTTTGAGTTTTCTATTGTAGAGGCCTAAAAGTAATTTGCTGGTGTTTGCATTCTTTCGACTTTGTGATAATAATGAAGATGATGATGGCTGGCCATTTAACGTCCACAGACATATTACATGCTGATTCAGAACGTGAACATGTTAATGTAATATGAATATTAACACTACTTTTGACTAGACCTACACACTGAGCCGGATCTTTAACGTGCTATTTCACAAAGTGGAAGTTCCCTAACCCTACCCGGACACAGCATTCTAACATTATGAACGACCGTTAAAACATAATCAAAACATATCGATTATTACAGCTAGGAATCATATGTGTAAGCCTTTGATGGGTGACTGACAACTATCATTAATTTCGTGGCCGTCAAACTATAGGATTGTCTAATTAGTTAAGTTTCAGCGTGCCTTACACTTGTGTTCATATTAGATTTCTTTTTATTTCATTAAGAAATCAGTTTTGTGCATTGTTTTCTCTATAAAAAGTTAGTGTGTTCATTGATATATTCTGGTTTTGAAATTACATGAAGGACAGACACTATTTGTTTTGTCTATTTCGGTTATTACTCTTGAAAACTATAAAAGATAGAAAGAAACTGTAATATATGAGTTTTTGCTCCCTACAGCACAGTTTTAACCAATATTATCAATTTTGGTAAAACACTTGAAAACTTTAATGTATAGACAATAACATTGTCCAGCATAAATGATCGGCAAGGTAAATGATTTGGGCCGACACAGTTTCCATTCAATACAAACACATTTTTTTTTGCATTGAATCAATTTTGTGTAAAAATTGTCTTAAAGTGAGTTATAACGGCTGCTCGGAGCATCTTATTAGAACAAATATGTTTCAAAAATGATGTGTTATTAAGCATTTTATACAAACTATGTAATACTCTTTCCAGATAACAAATTACGATAGGTTAGCCCATTTAAATATTTTAAAGCAGATCATCAAATGAGATTTTACGATATTTTTCCGTTCGTTCGTCTTTTTTTGGTGGTTGTTACAAACTCATTGGAACCTCTTGTTTAAATGTTCTACGAAAAAAATTAGCGTTATTTCCCGTTGGACATGTCATCATCTCATGTCGTATTGATCTTGAGGAGAAAGGATCAATTAATCATGTGAATCATCTAATTAGATACAAAATATATATATTTTTGGATTATTGATCAGACAATCTGAAATGATAAAAATGATTAATAAAATCGATTCATCAACTAAAAATCATTTCAAGTTGTATGCATTATGGTACGTTTATAATAATGTGACACAGTAATATTAAAATACTGCATATTATCAAAATACGTGATAAATTTCGTTATCAAAAACGAATGATTATGATTTCAACTTATCTAACAAAAACCAGGGAACTAATTCATATTCTTTAACACATAAACATTTCATAAGTGTACATTGTTTAGCCAATCATTGATTTTAACGAACGTAATCTATGTATTACTGGTAAATTATTAAGCCAGGGATTTCGTTACCACAAATTACTTAAAACCTTTACTAAATTCTTCCACAGATATAAAGCTTTGGTTTTGAAGTTTGGCTGTACCTGTAGAAAACTTATTTCAAACGGGATTGCACATCCTCATTTTTACGGCAATATTGTTTACCGTGCCGGAAATTTAGAAACGATCCTTTAAATAAACTTATTCTAAAAGGTTACCAATTCAACACTGTAATTAGATCATTAAATATTGTTTTATTGGTACTGATATTGATTTTGTTATCAGTAAATTAAAAGCAAACTAAATATTATTGTTATATACATATACACATTCATGGATCTACAATCTGTACCTGTATCTTGGCATTGCACAAGGTCATGTTTTTCTCTGACTGTTTATGACGTCTTTACACTAAATCCATTGGATGTTGGATGTGTACGGATTGATAATATAGACTTAGATGCTTGATTTTTGTATTAGTTGTTAGTGGCTTTGAACTAGCTGTCAGTAACTGCGAGTAATCTCAGATCTGTACTTAGTGTCTTTTTGTTGTTTGGATTTATAAGTACCCGGCCACGTCCACTTGTAATTGTAGTATTTGTATTTTTATCCATCTGATGAGTTAAGCCTCTTTCAACTGATTTTTATAGTTCGTTCTTATGTTGTACTGTTGCACCACTGTCCCAGGTTAGGTGGAGGGTTGGGATCCCGCTAACATGTTTAACCCCGCCACATTCTGTATGTATGTGCCTGTCCCAAGTCAGGAGCCTGTAATGCAGTGTTTGGCGTTTGTTTATACGTTACATATTTGTTTTTCGTTCATTTTTTGTACATAAATTAGGCCGTTAGTTTTCTCGTTTGAATAGTTTTACATTGTCATTTCGGTACCTTTTATAGCTGACGGTGCGGTATGGGCTTTGCTCATTGTTGAAGGCCGTACGGTGACCTATAGTTGTTAATCTCTGTGTCATTTGGTCTCTTGTGGAGAGTTGTCTCATTGGCAATCATACTACATCTTCTTTTTTATATTCAAGACAAAAAGGCTTATTTGATGCATGAAATGCACTTGTCGATAACTCATTTTGTGTTTCTGGTGCTGGAAATCAAACGTTCGAAATCAAAAGTAACAAACATTTCAGAACAATAAATCCATATAAATTAATTGTTGTAAAATCGATTTCCAGTGGTAAATATTTCAGTCATATTCAGGTTGAAAACAAGTTGAACTTACACCCCTTAAGACATTTCACATATTTCAAACGTACAAATTGCAAGGTAAAACCACCCAAATAAGATCACTATGAAAACCAAAGAGGTAAACATAATGCTAAATAAATCTAAAAAGAATCATAAACAAAAGCATTTACAACAGGCTTAATGATACTCAACTGGAGTTTCAGTTATATTGCACCATCATTAGTTACATTCAATCATCAGCGACATGCCACGATCAATGGCTTTAAATGCATTTACAAGCTAATTTCGTACACCAAATCATGAAATGTGTATTTCATGCATCCACGTAATTTCTCGTATCTTGATATCGAAGCCAAATATTGGAAATTGAAACAAGTGATATTCAAATAATTGGACAATACTCGGGTAAACCATGAGAAATGTTGCGAAATTGTTTAATGTGTATTTGAAATAGCTTTGGGATTAGGCTTCACTCTCAAGTATTTCTATCGTCACAAGTTTGGATGGATTCAATCGTGCAAAATCGAAAGGGGAAAAAAGAGAGGCGTCGAGAAAATAAGAAAATACAGTTGAATCAATCATTGTTTCCCATAAAGTAATATGAGATGTAAAAAAAAAAATCAAAGTAAATTCTATCATATTGGACAAACATTAAAACTATTATACATGTATATCATCAAATAATTCTATGATCTGGTATTACTAAGTAGTACCTTTTATTTAATTATAATTTTGCATTATGTTATTAATCCAAACATTCATTAAATAACGTGCTTTTATCTGGTTTGAATGTTGTGCATTTTAAATTTATCATTTGTTCTTCCATAGGTCGAGACAATAGGAGAACGTCTGTCGGGTATATGATTTTGGTCGTCTCTCCTGAATTGATGTGAATTTTTCTAGACATGGGACAATTTGTAAGTAAAAGCTTGTCATACATTTTAGACGCATGTATATTGTATGTTACTTTTAGATGTATATGTAGCTGATCATAAGTTCCTATCAAGTTTCGAGTAGCACAAATCTGTCTTTTTAAACAGTGAAACCGGTATTAACCGTATCCTTTCAACAGCAAACATTTAATTCAAGTGTTCGGTTTCAAGAAGTCAGGTAAAATGTTATTTGCATGTCCTTACACATGAGTTGACTGAAGACAGGTTTTAGGATTTAAAATGGTTCGGCTTAGGTCAGTTGCACTGTATTCATATTTATATTTTTCTACGACAGAAAATATCTCCGAAATAAAACTTAAAAGCCTCGCCTTTTTAATTATCTGATCGTTCAGTGTTTGGAATAATGTTACTTCATATATCCAACGATATGGAAGTAGACCATCTGGAATGCCACCGAAGTTCGTTAAAACACAACCCCAAACTCCACAGTCTATAATAGCATGATCCAGCATTTTCTTCACTGTGGACAATAGATGAACAGTATGCATTAATCCAGTGTTTGAAAGTTTGTATGGATAAGAGCAAGAGCACATAAAATAAGCAAAAATACGAGGATTTTTTATATACCTTTTGTGAAACATTCTTTATTAGTTTTACCCTGGAAGAGATCGACTAAGAAAACAAAACTTGCGGTTATCAGTACAGAGATATTTATAATACCATTTTACAAATGCTGATTTTTACGCCCATTGAAGAGGGACGTATTATTCGATACGATTGTCCGTCTGTCCATACTTCGTGCGACAACTTAAGTTTGCTTTAACCAATTCTCATTTGATTATAATACACTTTTACAATTGGCATGTGAAAGCGTTTATCCGTTTCTTTGCATATTTTTGAATGTGTCGTTCCAGAGTAACGACACTTTAACCGTTTGAAATACGGCAATGTTGCATACATCGCGTTCTATGTCTGGATTGATTTCTTCAAAACTGTACATTACTGTGAGATTAATGAAAGGAAGCTTCTTTTCAATTAGTTTTGTTTTATATTCTGCTTATTAGTTCAAAGTTCATGGACCTAAATTGCCAGATTTTAGTAAGTTTTGCAGTTGTTGAACCATTACTTAAGTTTGCGTGGATTGATTGACTGCAAACTTTACATGATTGTTGGAATATAAAACACCGTTGATTAAATTTTATCTGATTTTTCATCCATATGATTATCAGACTTTGGTCGTCAGATGCACTAGCTCTCGTATGCTTTGATCACATTTTTACACACTTAATACTGTTGTTATGATTGGAGAAAACAGACTAGCTTTTGATTTTGACAATGTTGTGGTTTGTCATTTTGGAGTCATTGGACCTTTAACGGGAATATTTGGCACAATATGTTTACGGCTGAGGCTTTCTCATGCATGCATGTTTTTCTACAAAGCCATTTTATTATCTGCTGATTAAATGGCCTCTAAATATCCCATATAGATTTTTGCAATAAGTACAATATACATATCGAGAGTGTATCATGCGCTCTTGGCAGAGCTGCTTATCAATTGATATTTTTAGTTTGTGTTGTTTAAGATTTTATATTAAATTTGACAGAAAATCCATAATAACACATTATACATAACTTGATAGCGTTTTGATAATGATGTCAGCTAAATACTCCGTAGCAATGCATTCTTATTATGAATACAATCACATTTTTTACTTTTAATTTACGCCTCCAAAATGTTAGAATCATTTGATGATACTAAGGTTTATTCTAAACCTAGTCAAAGATTAGCTTAACCATTTTAGAACAATTTTTGTGCAATATTTTGTTTTCAGTGATCTTTAGCTACTTAATTTCGTAATTAATTTCTTTTTTCAACTGTTCTAGTAAACTAATTTTGTGTCAAATCTTTATTTTCTTAACAGATAATAGTTTTTGTTATATAAAAGGAGGACAAATCTTAGTGCAGAACTTTACTCGGATATTTGATCAAATTAAACGTCAAAACTTTTTTTAAATCAGAAGCTCCAAAAATATGATAATTTTAGTTCTTTGCTAAATTTCTATGTTCAATGTAATGTCAATCTTAGCACGTTCTGTGTTCCAAGTGTGTGTTACCTTGGGTTCTTATTAGTTAGATATGTAAAACTGCTTTAATCTGAAATTTGCTATAATCCCCGAATAACGTAACTCTGTTGTTGAAAAGTTAATTTTAAGAATCCTCTTTATTAAATTCTTTATGCTTATTGTCATTTTGATAATTGTTTGTGTGTTTTGTTCCGATCTGATAATTTTGTAATTGTCGGCTTTAAGCTTTACAGAGCTTTTATTGTATTGTTATATATGTACCCGACTTTAAATAAATCTTGTAAGATTATGCTTTATTTTAACACTTTTGTTTCTTACATCGCACAATTTTACAACTATTCAATGTTAGTGGAATTGTTGAGCGATCATTATCATGTTTGAATCCTAAATGTCTAAAGCATGGAGACTGTTGTCCAGTGGTTGTTGTTGGTGGTCGTCATAACGGTTTAAATGTATGTCTTTTATTTGTGTATGAAGGTCGTTATTAATTTGTTTGGCATGCTTTTCATTTGGTAGTAATTGTTTTATTTTAGATCACACCGAATCTCCTTCATTTCAAATGCATCTTCAATAATATTTTGGATGAACGATTCGCTCAGGGATTTACTCTGCGATTTATAAACAAACTTAAAACTGTTCATTTTAAATTTTTGAATTAATTTATGAGCGATAGTAAGCATGATTTTTCTGAGTTTTAATTGTCACTAAGTCACAAATACTCGATCTCTGTAGCAGGTAAACCTTGTTTCACGAATGATAAAAGTATGAGTACAATGGAGTCTTCAACGCCATATGCGGGGTGTTTGCTATGAACGACACGGGGTTGTGAGAGCTTACTTTTATGCGAATTGTTTGTGACAAATTCTATATTTCACAGAAGGAACCGACCAATCGACAATCTCCTTCAATAAGAAGGAGACGCCCACAATGTTTTGATTGCTCAAATATCTCTCTTCCAGATTCAAAACTTTGTTTCTGAATAAAAACAAATTTTCAGCGACCCGATTCAATATATTTACGGAAATGAATCCATGTGATATAGAATGACACCTATTGTCATCCTCCCAGTCAAAACATCCTGGTTTTTAAGTTACATTTACTCAAAATGTAATGTGTCGTGCATGTTGACTTATTTCGTTTTTAACGGAGATGTCTGTCTTAAACTCTGATTTATAAGGAAAAACTTATTTTTAGTCAACATTTGAATAACACTATTTAACATGATGTTTTGTTTGCTATGGGCTAACTCATACACCATGAGCTCAAAATTCATTTGTTCTATTTCGTATTTCATGTTTAATAAAAAATAAGAAAATAAAAAAAAAAAAAAATAAGAAAAGTTAAAAACTTACGGTCGATTTTTTTCCTACTTAACAACAGACAGGGGCATGATCTAACCTTTCATTACATTTACCATAAATTGGTTGATTATAAACAGACCTAAACAAGCTTCAAATAAAATTTTGTCCTTTTGAGATCGATGCCCAAACAACCATTATTATGTGTTTGGTTGTTGAATATATTTTTGGCTAGCGTTTATAGGTACCAGAAACACGTGTTGTGCGTACTGAAACCGAAATGACAAGTTTGTTAACTGGAGATTTACTATAATAGAGTCTTATTGGTAAATTGCATCTTATTGGCTGGGTAAGGCTTGGTAAAAAAAAAAACAAAAAAACACATCCCTTAATTTTTTTAAGGATTTTCAAAAATCAATTTACCGCGTTTCTCCACTCGCGGGTCGTTTTTGGTTTGTTGATTGAGTACTTGTGGCTTCCTTTAAAGGTCAAAGTACTACGGTTTAGCACTTTTATGAAGGTGGTCGATACAGCCACATAAGACCTCATGTTTAAATGTTCTGTGAAAGAAGTTAGCGTTATTCCCCGTTGATCGTTTTATTATCGTATGTTTCTTATGTCGTATTTTTCATACGGAGAAAGGATGAATTGATCATAAGAATCATCTAATAACATATTACATATTGTTTAACCTTACAATATTATTGATCAGACCATCTGAAAAGGATAAACAATTATTCATGAAATTTATAATTTACCTGTTTGTACAATGACGCACCAAAATCATTTTCAGTTGTATACAATATGGTACATGTATAAAAAAGCGATATAATGAAAATAGATTGTATAACATGCATAATTTGATATCTAGTGCAACAAATTATTCAACTGTCGTGTTCTGAGTAACACAGTCTATATAAAAATACTGGCCATTGTCGCACAACCTGGTTGAACATTTTGTTTTCAAAAGCGAATGATTATTATGATTCCAATTTAAGTAACACCAAATCAGGATACGAATTCACGTATTTTTGTCATTTTATATATGTTATATCAATATTAAGACCAAATTTCGAGATACCAAAGTTAATTGGATGCAGTATATGCGCATTTAGACAATTGATTTTTTGTCTTTGGTGATGGAAATAACATGATACGTAAAAAATAAAACTGAAAATATCTCAAATATAAAAAAAGTAACATTATACCACTACAAAAGCGTTTACAACCGACCTTATGATATTCACGAGGAATTACACTTAAGTATCCGTGTCATTGCACCACCATCTACCACATTCAATCATCAATGATATTTATCCATCAGCGACATTCCACTATAATCACTGGCATCAACCTAGTGCTATTAATTCAACTTTCCGAGCCTTTTCCAATACGCATAATCATAAAATGCGTATCTAAAACACCCATCTCTGGTAACTTGTAATCGAAATTAATTACTCGAAATCGGAACATGTGATATCAAATTTAAAAGACAATATTCGGAATAGATTATACTGGCTTGTATGTGGCAAAACCTTTCGGATTTTGGGTCCTCAATGCTCTTGAACTTCGTTCTTTATTTGGTCCTTTTGACTCCTTTGATTCGAGCATCACTGGTGAGTCTTTTGTAGGCGAAACGCTGAAAAACGTCTGAAGTACAGAATGTTAAGCCTGGTATCTATGATAAGTTTCTTGTAAACTAGGGAAATGTTATGAAATGATACACTATGTATTCAAACAGCTTTTTGAATTAGCCTTCATTATAAAGTATGTCTATCGCAATATGTTTGGTGAGAACGTATCGCACAAATTCCTCAAACGAGAACAGAAAAAACAGAAGAAAAATATACAGTTGAATCAATCATCTTTTAACGTTCATTAAACTGATGTGAAAAAAATAGCATATTTGACCAAAAATTAATGCTTAAAAGATTTCCGCTGCTCAATTTATCAGTGTTAAAAAAACTCATCAAAGGTTCCAGGCTAACTTGGCACGCCAGACGCGCGTTTCTTGAATAATCATAGGTATGTTCTATGTTCTTTTGAAATTTCGACCAAAGATTAAGAACTGGATCTTCCATCACTGTATTGGATACCTAAACTACATAAGTGTCCTTATAAACAACGGTATATTGCTGGGTCTTCCAAGTGCTCCACGAAACTTCTTTCTAAATTATTAACATCAATTTTATCAACAAGCAAAGCTGGGCTTCAAAGTTATTGTGAAACTACCTATTCTAGAGGTGGTGTGAATCAGATGTGGATACTAACAAATTCAAAAGATCTTTTAGAGTACATACAGTCTAACACTAGTTCATCTTGCAATAGTGTTAGAACATTTGACAAATTGAAAGAGTTGGTCCTGCTTTGGTTCATAAAAAAGAATGGCCAAGGTAGATACAAGTATCTTGTCTAAGGGAAGGATAAATCCTACTTTGTAAAAAATCACTCTGATTCAAACAACAAATTTTCTGAAACTGATATTATCAAGATGCTTGATTTCTTGATTGACAACATATTTGTTACGTTTGGAGGACGTGTTTTCAACAAACTGTCGGAATTCCAATGGGAACCAATTGTGCCCCTCTTCTTGCCGACTTGTTTATTTATTATTATGAGGCTGACTTCATACAGGAATTTCTTAGGAAGAAAGGTAAGAAGTTAGCAATATCCTTTAACTTTACGTTCCGCTATATAGATGATGTTCTATCACTAAATAATACAAAATTTGGTGACTATGTTGAACGAATCTATCCCATCGAACTAGAGATAAAGGATACTACAGATACAGTTAAGTTTGCCTCATATCTTGACTTACATCTTGAAATTGACAATGAGGGTCGGTTAAAAACAAAACGTTACGACAAGAGAGATGTTTTCAGCTTCCCAATTGTGAACTTTCCATTTCTATGTAACAACATTCCAGCAGCGCCTGTATACGGAGTATATACCTCCCAGTTGATACGGTATTCAAGGACTTGTATTTCCTATTATGATTTCCTAGATAGAGGGTTGCTGCTCACAAGGAAGCTATTAAACCAAGAGTTTCAAGTGGTGAAGTTAAAATCATCCCTTCGTAAGTTTTACGGACGCCATCACAAGTTAGTTGACCGTTATGGAATATCCGTTATACATATGATAACGGATATGTTCCTAATGTTGTAACTACTATACCGTCCCCTTTTTCCGAATGCGACCTACCGAATTAGACTTATTACCGGGTTTGTACAAACATGAGCAACACAACGGGTGCCACATGTGGGGCAGGATCTGCTTACGCTTCCGGAGCACCTAAGATCACCCCCAGGTTTTGGTGGAGTTCGTATTGCTCAGTCTTTAGTTTTCTATGTTGTGTTTTGTGTACTATTGTTTGTCTGTTGGTCTTTTTCTTTTCTAGCCATGGCGTTGTCAGTTTATTTTCGACTTACGAGTTTGAATGTCCCTCTGGTATCTTTCGCCTCTGTTCTACATAAGAATCATCAGTGGCGCCCGAATAAAGCAGTTGGAAAGCCAAATTCAAATACGAAGTTGAAGAGCATTAAAATTGAAAATTCCAAGAACAATTCTATCAAATACGGCTAAGGAAATCTGTGCCTGTAGAGGGATAGAAAATTTTATAAGCCGTTTGATAAAGTTTTAACTATCATATATATCTTATGCACGTGAAACCTAGTGTATTTCTTACTCAAATAAAAGAAGGGAAATCAGAAAATAGGAGTGTTTGATTTCAAGAGTCTAATTGCAGAAAGTAATTGCGTGTTGTGTCAAGATTGCAAGGTCACGAGTATAAAAGTATGTCTGTGATGAAAATAACTTAAGCAATATATCAACAAATAATTCTATGTTTTGGTATTACAAAATACCAATTTTATTGATAATTTTGCATTCTGTAATTCAAATCATAATTTAATAAAATGTTTTTTCTTGTTTATAAATGGTGTTTGCATTTTAACTTTTTGGTGTTTATTCCTCCATAGATCTATAAAAAGGGAAGGTTTTAATATTTAGAAAACAAGCTCCATATGCTATTATAGTCATTCGTCGATGTCTCTTCGTGCTTTTTCCTATCGGTAATATGGTGTTGGCCGCCTCAATTGGGTTTATATTGAGCTTGCTAGACGATTTAGATAGCCTGGCATCCCAGATGAGCTTTATAGACGAGACAGCTTGCCAAGAGGCAAGCCGCGTTTAATATTGCAAGTTACCTTAAGATAAATATTTGGCTCAATAATTTATTTAAGAAGTGAAACCTGTTTAAATCAAACCCTTTCTTCCACACTTCGAATTATACAAGTGTTCTGTTTACACAGGTCAAGTTACTAACGAATATTATTTATATAGAACGATACATGAGTATTTAAGAGCTTGCAGCCTCTACTCAGACTTTATTAAACGTCACCAGTGTCTGAGCAGAAAGTTGATATACCAGGGTTATGTCAAAGAACGTCTCGTCCTTTTTTTTTTTAGAAAAGTTCATCAGAAGATACCAAGACCTTGTTGATAAATATTCCGTATCAGGTTCACAAATAATGCATGATGGTCTAGGTAGATTCTAGATACTGACGTTGTTTATCATCTTAATAACGTGTTATAGTGTTCTTTTTATTTGTCTTTATATATTATTAACCATTGCTGTTTAGTCCATTTTTTGTAATATCCGTTAGGCGGGGCTCGGTATTTATACATCCCGCCATTATGTTATTGTGCTATGGTCATTTATTATATTCTTGTCTTTCTTTGTTGTGTATGTGCTTTGTGTATAGAGTGTCTATATGCCATTTTCTTTTCTTTGTTGACATAGTTGTTTGTTTTATAGGTATTAAGATTATAACACAATGTTGACTGCTGTACCATAATTTTTGACATTTTTGCCTATTTTGTCTGTTTGTTTTGTTCACACATTGTCGGCAATATAGTGGAATTTTATGCGACTGTCATACAAGTGAGAGGTTTAGCTAGCTATAAAACCAGGTTTAATCCACAATTTTCTTAATAAGGACATGCCCTTACCAAGTCAGAAATATGAAAGTTGTTTTCCATTCGTTTCGATATGTTTGGTCTTTTGATTTTGCCATTTGATAAGGCACTTTCCGTTTTGAATTTTCCTTGGAGTGCGTAATTTTTGTTATTTTACTTTTCACGTTATATTATTGAAGGTCTCAATTGTTCTGCATCAGATGCGCGCTTGTCTAATTAATGTCTCTTCAGTGAATCTCGAGGCCAAAAAATTTGAAATCGAAATCAAAAACATAATTCAAACGTAAAAGAAATGATAAACTAAAAAGAACAGCAACAAAAAATTAGCCAAACCAGGACAAATTATCAGAGCTATGCATGAGGGTGATGCATTCATTAATTTAAAACGATTTCCAAAATGTAATAACAGCAAATTGCAATAAAACAAAATACGATTGTTCATGACAGTACTGAAGTACAGGTTTTTTTTTGTCTATAATGTTGTTCTCTTAAAAAGATTCACTGTATTTCTCAAATTTAATCTGTTCCTCCATTTAAAATTTATCGATGTAAAAATTGAATGTTTTGTATTTTTTATTCTTGTATTCTTACCGTTCAGTTGTGTTTGGATTAAATTTACATCGAACATTCAGGGAAACAGAAGTTCATATTAGAAAGTACAACATAGAATGTCATCAAAATTCGGTTAAACACTACCACCAAACTCCACAGATAATTGGGCAAGGACTCTCCTTTTTCCTTGTGTTTTTGTTTTAGATGTTTAATTCAATGTTCGTTGCTATTTCTCTTATTTTGTGTGTTCTTGCGTTTATATATACGATCTTATAATAACTGCTGATAATAAGAAAAGAGGGGCAGCACGTGTAAACTAAAATTATTGAAAGATTGTATGAATAGGGTTGGTACCTGTGTAAAACCTTTTACAAACACTTTGTCGATACAACTGCTTCATGACGTTTCGTCCTCAATCTCAAGCTCGAGGTTGTCAACAGGACATTAGTCAATTATGAAGAACTATAATACTGACCGTACATATCATTTGCATAAGTTTTGAGTTCATAAAATGAAAAGGTTATTTGAAACATTAAGGTTTCTTGTAATCCTAGGCACATATGTCCATAGCTAGATTTAGTAGTACAACTTTTCATTTTGAATTTTGGTTTTCAAGACTATTTAATTCAATAATTGATTTGGGCCAATGTTTTGATAAAAGCACCACTTATGAGTCTTATATAAATGTATCCTTAACCCGCGGCTTACGTACCAGATCATACGTCTGGTATTTTAATTCTTTTTTTTTCAGAACAATAAAAAAATATCCTTAATTTTGGTGGTTAAGGCTCTTAATATATTGAGCTGTGAGAATGAAAAGGGTTGAATTAACAAATGTTTATATATAAACACTGTAACTGCTTATTTGACGCAATGTTATATGTTTTGATTTTCAGGGATAAAAACGGAGTTCTTGGACATACTTACCCTTGATGCATCTGCGAAATCACGAAAGAAATTGTCACATATCTATCTCAATTGAACGCAGACATATTCAAAATTGCAATTAACAACAATACAGATGAAGATGGGTTGTGCAGCCTATTTAAATATATGCTTTTTTTGTATTTTGGATAATTTGTTCATTTAAATAGATATCATTTACACATATAGATACTAAAGATATTTGTGAAACAAAGCAACGTGCACTGAAGTTGATGTTGTCATTTTTTTCTATTCTGATGAACGCCGTTTGATTTGTTTTAAACTAAATAAATATACAAAGTTGCATCTTTATAAATCGAGTAATGGCAGACCCCATCACCACCGAGTATAACAACAAAATATAGTAATATACAAAGCATTACTAGGAAATATAATGATTGAGTTTTAGTCTATCATATATCAGGTCGCGCAATATCGGTTCAGATGTAAGTTAGTAGCTGAATTCATCTTTTGGCGGATATAGCCGCCATCTTTAAACTCGATAAATATTTAAACATCAACAAGCTAAGGAAGTACAGAAAGAAAGAAAACACAGATTTCCAAATGTTTTATTTTCAGCAGTTTTTCTAAGAGGGATCCTGCATCGACATTCGTATTATGCTGGTTATGGTGCAACATCATATGTCATATGTCATATTTGTCCATATGCCGGTTGCGGGATCGGATATATGAACCACATGGGATATTCCGTTCATCAAATGTTAAATGAAATAAGATTGAGTTATTCCCCGTCGAACAATTAATCCTGAAGTGAAATCAATGACTAACAATCGTTCGGTTAATGTATCAAACACTCGCAAAAACCATCACAAAATATATTTTTGAAATCTTAACGTATCATTTTTCGAGACAACTCTTACTCTGAGTCATTTTTGCTTTGTGTCGCTCAGTCTTAAGTTTTTATGTGATATTTTGTGTTTGACTTACCGGCTTTTTAGATTTGAATTTATGTTGCATGTAATTTTTTTCGACTGATGACTTTTCTTCCTCTAAAATTGTCCTATTTTTCTTAAATGTTTGCAAAATAATAATACAATGAACATGATAGAGGAGAACGTATTTAGCTTATGCCTCACGTAAACTGATGATACTTATATGTCTTACGTAACACAATCCTGTTTCGCAGATATTCGAATACAGTCCATAAAGAACTCAATCATTAATAGTACCTGTTTTTGATTTCAACATTTTAAACCCTACAATTGAGAACAAATACGCTCTTTATATAATTCTTGTTTGAGTGCAAGTACGAGTATTATATTTCATAAAAAAACAATAGCATCCCTATTAATTGATAATAAAATAAAAAAGACAACAAGAATGGTGTACTCAGCGTAAAACAGTCAGATGATATCGAGGGGCAAATTCGCCTGGAAAGATGTAATAGGATTGTGCACAAGGAAACCTGACAAACAGGCAAAACTACCAATCCGCACCTTAGTTTTGTATGAATTTAAAGAAATTGCTATCGGGAAAAATTAGAAGTTGTCTCTTGTATCATAGGTGTTTGTGACAAGATTCCTATATCTTCTATATTTCTGCAACTTCAGCAAAGTAAAATTTTTATCTATATATAATTACATATTTGTACCAACCAGATTTTTTTTTAAAAGATACTATCATTCCTAATTCCGCATTAGCTTTTGTATCCATCTTCTTAATGTTCGCAACAGTTGGAAAACCCGAGTAACACGTCAAGTATTAATAACATGAAAATCACATGTAATTTCTGAGACCTTCTGTAATCTTTTGAAGAGATGTTCCTGTCACAAATGCTAAATAGAAGTAACTAAATATTAGTTTAATGTGCTACAAAAATTAAAAGTTTTGAGAAATTCCTTTGATGATTAACTGCTGATACTAAAAGCATTGTATTTCTGCTGGCTAATTGTTACCCCCAACCAACAAAAGGAATAATAAAAAGCAAAATAATCAAAGACCCCCCCTCCCTTATAAAAAAAAAACAAACTAAAAAACAAACAAGAATCAAATAGAAAAAGAAGATGATAAAAGAAAAAAATAGGGAAAGGAAGATTATAACATCTAGGAATAAAGTAACGAGCAATAGGTAAGATATGACATTGAATAGATAACTAATGGGAAAGAGCACAACTCTAAAAAGTCCAAACGCAGAAAGAATGTATTTCTTATTATTTGAACACTCAATCTGAACTAGTACTGTTATGGTACTGACGGTGTTTCATACTTTATGAAACTATTTTTAAAAATTTTAAGATAGCCATATATGGCAATTATTTTAATAGGGTGTTTAAAAATTTTCCACAAGGAAGTTCCTTTGACGACAAAATTGGCACAGAAAAGAGGTTAATTCGTTATCTTTAATCACATACTTGAAAGGACATGTTAAAGTAATACGATACTTGAATGCGTTGTAAACAACAATTATCTTTTTTTCGTCAAGGTCAAGAGAACTAAATTATACACAAAGTGGGTACAAAATGATAAAATACCCATTTATATTCATGAGAAACACGACGAAGGAACTTCCTTAGCTTAAATGTATATGCAAGTGAAGTAAAAAGACGCCCAAATAAAAAGCATTTGATGAAAGTCGATTTAGAGCATGAAAATAATGTATAAAATCTTGTCATTTGTGGAGTCAGATTTGGAACATATCTTCCAGCTTCTAATGTTTTTAATTCCAAAAAAAAAACCCTACGAAATTTAGACTGAACGGGCCTTTGTCCTATGTCTTCTCTTGGATTGAACAACCTTTTCTCTCTATTAACATTCTTAATTAATTTAGTTAAAGACCGTTGATATGCTTGTAGATGACTTTGGGTTCATTTTCATTGATTATTCATAAAACAATTAAAAAAAAATCAAGGCTAGAACATGTAGAATTCATCTATGATTAGTGTTATCAAATTAAGTTTCTTTAACTTCATTTACAGAGAGACAATAACCTTTGAAACACACATGAGGTCCATGAAAACGACTTCATTCATGCAGAACCAAACGTATTGATTGATGATTAGTCATCATCAACATTCATCATCATTTACACAGTATTAATAACACAATGGAGATCAACTGATTACATAAAACTGCCATGGCCATCTAAAAATAGAATTGACATATTTTATCAGGAAATGTTTTAGTTGTAGCTATTTTTAACCATATGAAACCGAAACAAGAAACCATTCTAGTTCGGCAAAAAAAATGATATTGACCTTCCTAGTCTTAACTTTACGTTTTTGGAATAAACAGGCTATACAGATTTGAACTGATTGGGAATAGTTCATCTATAATATCAAAGACATTCTGTATCCCGTTATTACCCGGGAAACGTACGTGTGAAGTAAACTATCACATAATTGGGTTTTGGCGGGGAAATATAAACTAGTTCGGCATGATTAATTTTCTCTTTATTTTATTCGGAGTTAGGCATAGTACTGAATACAATTTTTACAAAAAATTCTAAAACACATAACAGCTGTTAACTTCCTGGATTGATCTGATTGGTTTATAAAATAATCTATGCAGTTTTATTCACATAGTAACAATCAATGTATTGCTTGTTTAGATTATGAGGTATGAATATCAATAGAGATACGTGACTAAACATTATATACACAGAAATCCTGACCGAAAACAGCTATTTAGGTCAAGTATAAAAAGATATACATGCAAGGTAGCGTATTAGAAGTAATTTAAGAATTAAAATGTTCATTTCTCCATATTATAAATCCTATTTATGGTCCACAACAATAAAGGAACAAGGAAGATGTATTTTCTTTTAAATTTTCTTTTTACTAAATTCTCTTTAATGCAATTTATACAAATGCAATGATGTGTGAATAGTTCAAAAATCTAATAAAAGATATGAATTAAATTATTTACTATCAGCTAAAGCTACCAATGGAAGAATTACAGATTTGATAAAACATTTGTCTTAATCATAGTCCTTGTAATCTTATCTAAACATTTCCAAAAGACAAAATAAATGACCATTCTTCTATTCGGAAAAAAATGGATCGGGCAGAAAAGTTCATAATCCGTTTGCATCTTTTCAATGCATTGAATTTATTTAACTCCTATATAAATGTACCAGGATCGATATGCACTGTCATAAGTCCTCTAATTGATTTTTTTACACAATTCGATTCATCAACAGTCCCTTGTCCTCCGTTGCATTGACTGTTACTTTAACTGTATACTTTGTAGCCGGCAAATTAAAGAAAGTAAAGTAACATATATTTTTAGTTTGTATTTCCATTTCTCGCTCTGTAGTTTTTATTAGTTGCGGAAACTGATCAATGCAGTCTATTGTCTTTGTCGGCTTCAATTGCATTCAGCTAGGAATAGAATACCAGAACCGTTGTTTATTTGAATCGAATTTGTGAAATTGCAGCGTCGTAGTTACTTATTATTTTGTTTTATTATCTACTTGAGATTATTTATGGTCTTCTATTACAATTTAAATTGCGTTTCCCAGTTGCAGATCAATTAATATGTTTTCTTTTGTTCTACATCTATATAAAACAAATGGTAAACCAACATCAACTTTTATTGAAGTGCAAGCCCTTTTATAAATTTCACAGCAATTTTAAATTTAACTTAAATTTAACATTTTTTTCAAATTAAACAATCATTGTACTAAACAGCTGTCAAGGGCGTCTGGTATCTTGATCAAACAATATTGTTTCAATTTAACGAACCGTCATTGTTATCATGAGTGTTGCCAATCATTTAGATAGTGTATATCTACCCAAAGTAATATGGGGTTTTCAATAAACGCAAGAATATGGTGCATTATTTAATTTGGGTATATATATATATATATATATATATAAGTGCCTAAGAATGTAACTTTAACACACTAATGAGTGTTATAAAATTAGTTGTTATATTTTATATTAATCACGCAATATTTCTCTAAACAAATTAGCTTCATCAGGCGCGTGCAGCTAACCAGGTAAAAGTTAGAGGCTGTAAAGAAATTTTTGCAGCTCAATGTTAAATGTCTAGAAAAATATTTTTGCCGCTTATTGTACATAGCAATTCTTAAATCAAAACAAATAGTTGTTTTAGTTAAATAGAATGAAGTTCAGGATTTATTCCTTTGGTTTTGGGTAGAACTGTTTTTCATCTCTCTCATTAAGTCCATCAGGTTCAAGAGTACGTAGCTGATGCATCCAGAACCTTTCTCTCTGTTTTCTCCTTCGGGAGTCCCAATTTTGGATTACCTCAATTATTTGAAAGGTGATATTTGCAAAAGTATGCCCTGTTCTTAAGAGGTGTCTCGTAATTGGACAGTTTCT